GGGCATTACAGTGATTTCTAAGCAGTGGACCTCTGTCAATGAAATGATGGAAAAGCTGCTGTTGACATGGTTGACGGAGAAACAGCTCACATGAGATACGTAGTGTAGTAAGATAAACGTAAAAATTGTGCATAACAGTTCTTAAGATTATTATTGTTATAATCAAGGGGGAAGCGCTTGTCCCATAGGGTTATACAGTGCCTGGGGGAGGGGAGGTATTCAGGCTTAATTCAGGGAACTGGAGCACAGATCCAGTTCCCTAAATCAAGAGCCCCTCACCATCATCAAGGAGCCTTCCTTGAGGGGCAATTCTTAAGAAAAGTGTGAACTCCTGACAGGATATGCCACTCTGCATTTCTTCTCCAAGGTATGTAAATGCCATATGTACACCAGATCTAATTCAGTTAGCCTCACACACTCCGTTTTCTCTTATAATACCTCTGATATTTTCATAGCGAGACTGCACAACCACTCCCGACCACAATCCTCCTCCCTCTGCCGTTCATGTAATGACATATTTTATTCATTCTAGAGTGTATTTCAGGTTTCCATGTTATTTATATTGTGTATTATATCGTATTAGATGAATTGTGACAAATAAATAAGTCGTAGAGTTGATATAAGGGTTATTTTGTCATGCCTCCCGAGAGCAGGAATTCAGATGGTACGAATTAATTGCATTTCAATTAATTTAAATGAGGAAAATTGACCCAGCATACGAACAAGTCCACGGAACGGATTAAATTTGTAACCCAAGGTTCCACTGTACTATGAATGCTGCCAGAAGTAAGAAAACATGTATGAAAATGTTTGCTAGTGATGCAGAAATCCTGTGGGAATTTATCAATAAAAGTTCCTGAATCCCTGCAGGAAGATCTGAGTAGTCTCAGCAAGTTGATGAAGGAACTTATTAATATGGATAAGTACCATGTAATGGTATAAAGAAAAATCAAGCCACGTGAAGAATATAGATTTTATGATAAAATATTTTGTGTGTCAGACAAAGAATGAGACTTATGGGTCATCATTAACAATAGATTGTCACAGAAAAATCATAGCTGGTGCTGGTACTGCATACCTCTTTGTCCAAACAACTGGTGCCATGTGTGTTCCTGGCATTGTTCTCAGTCCATTGTCCATGTCAGTGGAAGCACCACCTTCATAAATATGACCATCACTCACTGGATTTTGGTCATATGATCTATTATGTCCCTTGGAGATAGTCCTAAGGATACTATCAGCCCGTGTGTGTTGCTGCATAAATTGACTCTTCACAAGCAAATAATTTTCACTATCACTTATCTGGTCATCAGTTGGTAAGAAATCAAAGTCAGCATCATTATCATTATTACTACCATCTGTGCCCACACCATTGAAAAACATTAGCTTTCGCTTATGGCGTTGTCTATATGGCTTCACTGATGCCTAAGGTAGATGGTTGAGGGTCATTGGAGGTTTTCAGTGCTAATTCCTGCATTTTTCCCTGTCTATTTCTGTCACTTTGTCCTCAGAACCATTAAATTCATTGTCATGTCCTCAGAACCATAAAATTCATTGTCATGTCCTCAGAACCATAAAATTCATTGTCATGTCCTCAGAACCATAAAATTCATTGTCAGATTCTTTATCCTCTGAGTTGGAGCTATCACTGAGAAATAAATAGATGCTTAATTCGCCAGAGTAAGAGTTTTGTGCCCACGAGGTATGGTGAAGAATACTGAACTAAAGTGGCATTCCCTTATGCATTGTAATGGCCCTAGTTTTATTTTTGTGTACTGCATTCGCTGACCACACAGACCCATTCTGTCATGCCTAGGTCTCCCAGCCTCTCACATCAAATTTGAAGGAGCTAGAATTCACACACAGATGATGTTGGCAATGTTTATTTCTAGCAAGTATGGTTTACATGTGCTATAGAAAAAGTTTTTGACATTATTGACATACTTTATAGAAAGCCTCTGGTAATACAGGGCATATTGCACAGCTTTAAAAGAATCTTATAACTGCAGATACTTCCCTACTTACGAACAGGTTCGGTTCCAAGCAGTCGTTCGTGAGTCCATTTGTTCGCAAGTTTAAGATATGTATGTATACAGTAGCGTAGTATATGTATGTATGAACATTGAGTAACCTAGAAGTGTATATGGTTTAAACATATACGTGAACACAGGAAAACTACAAAAATACAGTATTATATCCACTTTTGTTTCCATTGTGATGGCCTGGCACTTCTTAGCACTACCACCTTCATCATCACTGCTTTTATACTTAAGACCAAACATATTGGGTGTATAATAATCACAAATAACACTGAATTTGAGGGGAGAGCACAAGCACATGTATGAACGATGCCGCTAGAGTAACCTATGTACTATGTATTGTTTAAATCTCAGCGCTTCCCGCAAATTGTTGATATTATCAAAAATTTGCAACACCAGTTGTTCGTATGTAGGGAAGCCTCTGTATTTATAACTACTACTATAATTTTTGCAAGCAATTTGTTGGAAGTTTTAGCAGAGCAATTTGCTATAACATTTATGGAAGTTATTACAAATGTTAATCAAATACAAATGTAACTACTGATTTAAATTTCAGTATTACTGTTCAGGACATACAATAAACTGTAGTTCTGTAGAGTGTATAGCATCTCGGGCAACACTTTATACTATATTAAAATTTACTCAGTTAACTCGAAGTAAAAATTACAGTAAGAGTGATACTAGTTACTTTATACAAAATGGGATGAATTAGTATATATCTATCAATTATTATTATAATTATTATAATCAAAACTAAGCTCTAAACCTACAAGGGTCATACAGCATGCCTATCTAGTAATACAGTGGACCCTCAGCTAACGATGGCATCAGCTAATGTTAAATCCAGCTAACGATACATTTTAACACAAAAATTTTGCCTCGGCTAATGCTAAAAAACTCACCCAACGCAATTCGTTCAAGACGCCTCCACATGTGGCCTGAGCGCGCTTCAGTTGTCCCGTGGGTGCCAGTGTTTACAAGCCAGCCAGTGCAGTCGCATCCACGCATACAATTGGAACATTTCATATTATCACAGCTTTTTTAGTGATTGTACCTGCAAAATAAGTCACCATGGGCCCCAAGAAAGCTTCTAGTGCCAACCATGCAGTAAAAAAGGTGAAAATTACTATGGAAATGAAGAAAGAGAAAATTGCTATGTACAAAAGTGGAGTGAGTGTCTCGGAGCTGGCCAGGTTATCGCTACTATTGTGGCAAACAAAACGGCAATCAAGGAAGCTGTTCTTGCAAAAGATGCAAGTTTGTTTTCGAAACAGAGATCGCAAGTACTCGAAGATGTTGAGAGACTGTTATTGGTGTGGATAAACAAAAAACAGATAGCAGGAGATACCATCTCTCAAGCGATCATATGTAAAAAGGGTGGGAAATACGTACTATCGTACCACGGTCAGCTGCTGCTGCACCACCGTAAGCTGTTGCTGCAACACAGTCAACTGCTGCTGCACCACGGTCAGCTGTTGCTGCACCAGTCAGCTGTTGCTGAACTACGGTCAGCTGCTGTTGCACCACGCTCAGCTCCTACTGCACCACAGTCAGCTGCTGCTACACCACCATTAGCTGTTGTTGCACCATGGTCAGCTGTTGCTGCACCAGTCAGCTGTTGCTGAACCACGGTGAGCTGCTGCTGCTCCACGGTCAGCTGCTGCTTCACCACAGTGGGCTGCTACTGCACCACAGTCAGCTGCTGCTGCACCACCATCAGCTGTTTCTGACCAACATGACTCGTCCCGAACCTGTCCATTCAGCCCTGCCATCATTGTTTACAAGCCAGGGTGGCCGGTTGCATGCATACATTCGATACATTTTGTATTATTCCATTGTTTATAGTGCTTGTAACTGCTAAATAAGCCACCATGGGCCCAAAGAAAGCTTCTAGTGCCAACCCTGTGGTAAAAAGGGTGAGAAATATGTACTATTGTACCACGGTCAGCTGCTGCTGCACCAGCGTCAGCTGTTGCTGCACCACAGTCGGCTGTTGCTGCACCACGGTCAGCTGTTGCTGCACGAGTCAGCTGCTGCTGAACCACGGTCAGCTGCTGTTGCACCACGGTCAGCTGCTGTTGCACCACGGTCAGCTGCTGCTGCACCACGGTCAGCTGCTGCTGCACCACGGTCAGCTGCTGCTGCACCACAGTCAGCTGCTGCTGCACCACAGTCAGCTGCTGCTACACCACCATCATCTGTTGCTGCACCACGGTCAGCTGCTGCTGCACCACGGTCAGCTGTTGCTGCACCACGGTCAGCTGGTCCTAGTGGCATTAAAAGAAGGGAAGTAACCCCGGAAAAGGACGTGTCTACCTAAAGTCCTAATGGAAGGGGATTCCCCTTCTAAACATTAACAACTTCCATACTCTCCCCTCCTCCCATCCCATCAACCATCACCAGATCTTCAATAAAGGTAAGTGTCAGTTTGTGTGTATTAAAATTAATATTTCATATGGTAAAATTTTTTTTTTTTCATACTTTGTGGTGTCTTGCACAGATTAAATTGATTTCCGTTATTTTTTATGGGGAAAATTAATTCAGCTAACGATAATTTCAGCTAACGATGAGCTTTCAGGAACGGATTAATATAATTAGCTGAGGGTCCACTGTATATGCTTCTAAGCTGTTGTGTTCTGAGCACTTCTGCAAAAACAGTGATTATGTGTGAGTGAGGTGAAAGAGTTGAATGATGATGAAAGTATTTTCTTTTTGGGGATTTTCTTCCTTTTTGGATCACCCTGTCTCGGTGGGAGACTGCCGACTTGTTAAAAAAAAAAAAAAAAAATTGAAATTTTTTGGGATATAATTCAAAGTGTAGCTGTTTTTCCTCATATCGTTAGAAATAATAGCTCTTCAGTATTCACATAAGAATTTTATGGCTATTACTTTCCTTTGTTGTATAGAATGAGTACAACATAATTTTTCTCGTGTGCTTAATTCAAGTTTTCTTCTTTGCAGGTACAGACAATTTCCAGTCATTGGTGATGAGCAAATTTCCCCAGAGAATCCTAGAAAGTTTGTGTGTAACCTTAAGGTAACACTTCATGCTAATTCAAGCAGAATCGAGCTTCACAAATTTATGAAGAATGATCCCTTTGCATCTAGTCATTGTCTCATCAGTGTAAGGGAGAGGTAAGCCGAGTTAGCAATCAGCATGGGTATATAAGACCAGGGTATGCATTCATAAGTCTCTTGTATTGCATTTATAATGCTATGAAAACTAACGTTCAAAGTGTCATAAACTAATCTTGTAGAGTTAAGTGTGCTATATTTTCTAAAATGATAGATAACACTTTTTTTTTGCATGGTTAATTTTTTGTGCATTTCTTTTAAGTGTTTTGGACCTAAGAATAAATCTTCACATAAGAGCTCACTACACTTATAACAAACATATTCAGTACCAAAAATAATTGCATTTGATGAAGAAAGAGCCAAGAAAAAATATAAAATATTGTCATGTGAGGTTCTGAGGAGAAACTCTACCCTGTCATTGTAGTCATTCTATATTACTTTGGAGTTGCATATATAGTGGAACCTCTACTTGTGAGCGCATCCACATGCGAGTTTTTCCAAATACGAGCAGTCAATGGTTTGATTTTTTGCTTCCATACGCGAGCGAAATTTCCATAAGCTAGCAGACCTCAAGGGAGGTTCCTTGATGCTGGTGAGGGGCTCTTGCCCTTGATCTAGGGAATTGGATCTCATTTGTTTGTTGGACTATCTTATTGAAACTTGGGCAATGTATGATGGAAAGATGCTTCTTAACGTACACCAAAAATGAAAGAAATCGGAGCATAAATAATGGAGTTCACTTCTCAGCAGTATTTTTGTATGATTTTTATGGTTGTATTCTCATTTTTTGGTCTCATTTGATAGAATGGAAGATATATTACAGAAATAGATATGATTTTGATTGCTTTCACGACGAAAAGTACCTTGAAATTGAGCTCACCATAGGAGAAATGTTCGATTGTTTTGGCTATGTTCAAGAGTAAACAAATATGCAGTCGTGAATGGGTTGACATTATTTATACAATTATTGCAATAAGGCAGTAGTCTGCATAACACTTAATCTTATATTTTTTGTGTGAATAAAAATTACAAATTATTTATATTGTAATAATAATAATAATGTCTCTTTCATTCAACACGCCTGCCGTATCCCACCGAGGCGGGGTGGCCCAAAAGAAAAAAAACCAAAGTTTCTCCTTTCAAATTTAGTAATATATACAGGAGAAGGGGTTACTAGCCCCTTGCTCCCGGCATTTTAGTCGCCTCTTACAACACGCATGGCCTACGGAGGAAGAATTCTGTTCTACTTCCCCATGGAGATAAGAGGAAATAAACAAGAACAAGAACTAGAAAGAAAATAGAAGAAAACCCAGAGGGGTATGTATATATACGCTTGGACATGTATGTGTAGTGTGACCTGAGTGTAAGTAGAAGTAGCAAGACGTACCTGAAATTTTGCATGTTCATGAGACAGAAAAAAGGACACCAGCAATCCTACCATCATGTAAAACAATTACAGGCTTTCGTTTTACACTCACTTGGCAGGACGGTAGTACCTCCCTGGGCGGTTGCTGTCTACCAACCTACTACCTAGGAATAATAATATGTATAATAATATTTATTTTTTTTTTTTATTATCACACTGGCCAATTCCCACCAAGGCAGGGTGGCCCGAAAAAGAAAAACTTTCACCATCATTCACTCCATCACTGTCTTGCCAGAAGTGTGCTTTACACTACAGTTTTTAAACTGCAACATTAACACCTCTCCTTCAGAGCGCAGGCACTGTACTTCCCATCTCCAGGACTCAAGTCCGGCCTGCCGGTTTCCCTGAACCCCTTCATAAATGTTACTTTGCTCACACTCCAACAGCATGTCAAGTATTAAAAACCATTTGTCTCCATTCACTCCTATCAAACACGCTCACGCATGCCTGCTGGAAGTCCAAGCCCCTCGCACACAAAACCTCCTTTACCCCCTCCCTCCAACCTTTACTAGGCCGACCCCTACCCCACCTTCCTTCCACTACAGACTGATACACTCTTGAAGTCACTCTTTCGCTCCATTCTCTTTACATGTCCGAACCACCTCAACAACCCTTCCTCAGCCCTCTGGACAACAGTTTTGGTAATTCTGCACCTCCTCCTAACTTCCAAACTACGAATTCTCTGCATTATATTCACACCACACATTGCCCTCAGACATGACATCTCCACTGCCTCCAGCCTTCTACTTGCTTTAACATTCATCACCCATGCTTCACGCCCATATAAGAGCGTTGGTAAAACTATACTCTCATACATTCCCCTCTTTGTCTCCAAGGACAAAGTTCTTTGTCTCCACAGACTCCTAAGTGCACCACTCACCCTTTTCCCCTCATCAATTCTGTGATTCACCTCATCTTTCATAGACCCATCTGCTGACACGTCCACTCCCAAATATCTGAATACATTCACCTCCTCCATACTCTCTCCCTCCAATCTGATATCCAATCTTTCATCACCTAATCTTTTTGTTATCCTCATTACCTTACTCTTTCCTGTATTCACTTTTAATTTTCTTCTTTTGCACTCCCTACCAAATTCATCCGCCAATCTCTGCAGCTTCTCTTCAGAATCTTCCAAGAGCACAGTGTCATCAGCAAAGAGCAACTGTGACAACTCCCACTTTGTGTGATTCTTTATCTTTTAACTCCACGCCTCTTGCCAAGACCCTCGCATTTACTTCTCTTACAACCCCATCTATAAATATATTAAACAACCACGGTGACATCACACATCCTTGTCTAAGGTCTACTTTTACTAAGGCCTTACTTTTACTTTTCCCTCTTTCCTACATACTCTAACTTGAGCCTCACTATCCTCATAAAAACTCTTTACTGCTTTCAGTAACCTACCTCCTACACCATACACCTGCAACATCTGCCACGTTGCCCCCCTGTCCACCCTATCATACGCCTTTTCCAAATCCATAAGTGCCACAAAGACCTCTTTAGCCTTATCTAAATACTGTCCATATACCCCCTACCTTTCCTAAAGCCTCCTTGTTCATCTGCTATCCTATTCTCCGTCTTACTCTTAATTCTTTCAATAATAACTCTACCATACACTTTACCAGGTATACTCAACAGACTTTTTTTTTTTTTTTTTTTTCTCAACAAGTCGGCCTTCTCCCACCGAGGCAGGGTGACCCAAAAAAGAAAGAAAATCCCCAAAAAGAAAATACTTTCATCATCATTCAACACTTTCACCATTCTTGCACATTATCACTGTTTTTGCAGAGGTGCTCAGAATACAACAGTTTTGAAGCATACACATATAAAGATACACAACATATCCCTCCAAACTGCCAATATCCCAAACCCCTCCCTTAAAGTGCAGGCATTGTACTTCCCATTTCCAGGACTCAAGTCCGACTATATGAAAATAACCGGTTTCCCTGAATCCCCCCTTTTTTTTTTTTTCTTCTTCAACAGACTTATCCCCCTATAATTTTTGCACTCTCTTTTGTCCCCTTTGCCTTTATACAAAGGAACTATGCATGCTCTCTGCCAATCCCTAGGTACCTTAACCTCTTCCATACATTTATTAAATAATAGCACCAACCACTCCAAAACTATATCCCCACCTGCTTTTAACATTTCTATCTTTATCCCATCAATCCCGGCTGCCTTACCCCCTTTCATTTTACCTACTGCCTCACGAACTTCCCCCACACTCACAACTGGCTCTTCCTCACTCCTACAAGATGTTATTCCTCCTTGCCCTATACACGAAATCACAGCTTCCCTATCTTCATCAACATTTAACAATTCCTCAAAATATTCCCTCCATCTTCCCAATACCTCTAACTCTCCATTTAATAACTCTCCTCTCCTATTTTTAACTGACAAATCCATTTGTTCTCGAGGCTTCCTTAACTTGTTAATCTCACTCCAAAAATTTTTCTTATTTTCAACAAAATTTGTTGATAACATCTCACCCACTCTCTCATTTGCTCTCTTTTTACATTGCTTCACCACTCTCTTAACCTCTCTCTCTTTCTCCATATACTCTTCCCTCCTTGCATCACTTCTACTTTGTAAAAACTTCTCATATGCTAACTTTTTCTCCCTTACTACTCTCTTTACATCATCATTCCACCAATCGCTCCTCTTCCCTCCCGCACCCACTTTCCTGTAACCACAAACTCCTGCTGAACACTCTAACACTACATTTTTAAACCTACCCCATACCTCTTCGACCCCATTGCCTATGCTCTCATTAGCCCATCTATCCTCCAATAGCTGTTTATATCTTACTGTAACTGCCTCCTCTTTTAGTTTATAAACCTCCACCTCTCTCTTCCCTGATGCTTCTGTTCTCCTTGTATCCCATCTACCTTTTACTCTCAGTGTAGCTACAACTAGAAAGTGATCTGATATATCTGTGGCCCCTCTATAAACATGTACATCCTGAAGTCTACTCAACAGTCTTTTATCTACCAATACATAATCCAACAAACTACTGTCATTTTGCCCTACATCATATCTTGTATACTTATTTATCCTCTTTTTCTTAAAATATGTATTACCTATAACTAAACCCCTTTCTATACAAAGTTCAATCAAAGGGCTCCCATTATCATTTACACCTGGCACCCCAAACTTACCTACCATACCCTCTCTAATAGTTTCTCCTACTTTAGCATTCATGTCCCCTACCACAATTACTCTCTCACTTGGTTCAAAGGCTCCTATACATTCACTTAACATCTCCCAAAATCTCTCTCTTTCCTCTCTTCTCCAGGTGCATACACGCTTATTATGACCCACTTTTCGCATCCAACCTTTACTTTAATCCACATAATTCTTGAATTTACACATTCATATTCTCTTTTCTCCTTCCATAACTGATCCTTCAATATTACTGCTACCCCTTTCTTTGCTCTAATAATTATAATAATAATACATATATGTAACAATAATAGTGTAATTTTTTTTTTTTTTTTTCAACAAGTCGGCCGTCTCCCACCGAGGCAGGGTGATAGTGTAATATAATATAATAATAATAATATAAATATAATACCTAGGTAGTAGGTTGGTAGACAGCAACCACCCACCACCCAGAGAGGTACTACCGTCCTGCCAAGTGAGTGTGAAACGAAAGCCTGTAGTTGTTTTACATGATGGTAGGATTGCTGGTGTTTTTTGTTCTGTCTCATGAACATGCAAGATTTCAGGTACGTCTTGCTACTTCTACTTACACTTAGGTCACACTACACATACATGTACAAGCATATACAGTGGACCCCCGGTTAACGATATTTTTTCACTTCAGAAGTATGTTCAGGTGCCAGTACTGACCGAATTTTTTCCCATAAGGAATATTGTGAAATAGATTAGTCCATTTCAGACCCCCAAACATACACATACAACCGCACTTACATAAATACACTTACATAATTGGTCGCATTCGGAGGTGATCGTTGTGCGGGGGTCCACTGTATATACACACCCCTCTGGGTTTTCTTCTATTTTCTTTCTAGTTCTTATTATTGTTTATTTCCTCTTATCTCCATGGGGAAGTGGAACAGAATTCTTCCTCCGTAAGCCATGCGTGTTGTAAGAGGCGACTAAAATGCCGGGAGCAAGGGGCTAGTAACCTCTTCTCCTGTATATATTACTAAATGTAAAAGGAGAAACTTTCGTTTTTCCTTTTGGGCCACCCCGCCTCGGTGGGATACAGCCGGTGTGTTGAAAGAAAGAATAAATATAATAATAATGTACTACATAATAATAATTATAATAATAGATGGCTTCAAAAGGCTGTCACTAGATGGCTTTGTTTACCACGACAAAGAGGGAGCGGTTGTGGCCACCTCCACCTGTTACATAATGACATATTTTATTCATTCTAGAATATATATCAGGTTTCTATGTTATTTATATTATTTGTTATGTCATATTAGATGAACCGTGATAGATAAATAAGCCGTAGAGTTGATGATAGCGAAATATTCAAGGAGTATTTTGTCCTGTCTCCAAACA